AGCCTACCACACACCACAAAACACCCAAGCACCACCCAAACTAACCTGAAGTAAATCAGTCAGACACACTCACGCACGGTCAGACACACTGTCGCATGGAAAAGCAATCACTGAATCAATTCCAATTAACAACATCAGGTCAGTCATTTATTTATATAATCCAATTTTCACCATTTCCCACCACATCAATCCAAGGCAATCAAGCTCGCTCGCAACGCATTTATTGTTTCCTAATATCGTCTTATGCTATCCAGCATTTTATACCGACGCCGTTCGCTTTTCTCCACCTACGACACACTCGCTCTTTCATAGATTCCCCCTACGAAGCAACTCACCTCGCACTTATCAATCTTTTTTCTGACGAATTCATCTGGCTCAAAACTTTAATAAAACATTTGTATCGATAACTTCAATGAACAAAAGCACGCAGGAAATGTATGTTGCACATTTATTTGAAGACATGTCAGAATATCAATAAGAAGCAGACAATATTTCAAGTCCACAATCACATGCATCCAGTCGAACACTGCAAAGTAAAAACGCCGTCCTTCATCTCACCAAAACAACACAACGACACACCATCCATACACACTCACTCAATAACACTCACTAATCACCATCCTATCGAAGATTCTCCTTCGATGACGCACATAAACAGATACATACATGCACAACACACACCAAGCCGACGGCACAATAAAACACCAAATCACCGAAAACCACAACATAACACATCCCCCGAAAATACCACTCAACATCACTCGTCACCAATCAGGCTTGATAATGTCGCCAAACACTTACACCGATATTTCATCATTCGCATTGTTATGATGCTGGATCCTTTGTCACGCGGTCACTGCTTAACTACTGCCCAGCGCCCACTTAACTGGTAAAGCAGAACACGAAGAGAATCAACTGTAAAACCAGGTTCCTTTATTATGACAAAAGTGACTGTATTTATACAGAAAATAAGGTAGACTGGAAATCAACCAATCCGGTTGAGAGTTTGTATTGTGCAAACGTCCAGTCAGAAGCAGGAACAATTCCATGTCAACGACTTGTTAATAACGCGATAATAACTTGACTGATGACCTGATAATTGCATGTTTTGCCTCTTCCTAACACACATGAAATTCAAATTCTCATCTTTCACTGCCTCTTTCTCTCTCTCTCTCTCGACAGAAACACTACCAGTCACAGATGAGTTTGTTAACACGGAGTCGGATCGCACTACGGAACAAGCTACGACCACGGCAATCACTTTTTCGTCGTCTGGTGAGTATTTTCTTGTTTTCGCCATCCAGTGAACCTTTTATTCCTGCGCCGGTTCCCATTGTCTGTGGCGTTTGTTCTGTCACACATTTTGTCGCTTTTCAGTCTATATCTCTCCTTAAATTTTTAATCTCTTTGCCTCATGCATACACCCAATCATTAGATATCCGTCTGCAAGAGAATCCATCACGACTTTCCTATAGCCATTTTCTAATTGATCCATACGCAAACTGTTAATTGAGGTCTTTCTTCGGGTGTCTTTCAACTGTTCACTACCTCACTGCATTATTTAATGACCCATTATTTCATATACTAACACATTCACTCCACCGATAAACTTATTATCATTGCTATTGTTTTCACAAGTCAGCGTTTTCAGCAAACACACTGAACCATCTTTCTTGTGTCAGGTGTCTTTTGCACCGCCATTTCAACCCATATATTGTGTTGTCCGAGGACATTCCACATATCATATCACTCTATGTTCTGAGGTGACAACTTATTTCAAAGTGAATTTCACGACTAGTTCATCATGAAGAGACACCTGGTGCTATTTACTCGTGGATATCTGTCTTGACGGACATTACTGTTTGGCATGTCTTTGATGAAATATACATTGTTCTACTTGTTGCTTAATGATGTAAAGCAAGGTCTAGCATTTCAACATCTCATACACATTTTTTCAACAATTTCTCAATAACCGAATGACTCCGAACTTGATGAGAAGGAAAGTGTGTGTATGTGCTTAGCTAAGGAGAAGCAAAGGTCAGCCACTGCAAGTATTGATGAAAATGAGAACTTCTGATACCTTTACACGGAATTATGCTCCATATTGCAAGACTAAGTGTTAATCTACAAACCGGATGAACATAAATACAGTAGGATTATTTATGAATGTGTCCCGCAGAATGATAACGAAATAGATAGACCACATGAACTTACATTTTCAACATTGAAAGTGATTGTTCTTTGATACACAGGTTGTTCGCAAATTTTTAGTAAACCAGATGGGTGACCTGCATTTTGTACACCTGGTGCTCCCACAAATAAATGAGTTTCAAATATCTACATGAGCAAAGTAGGGAACATGGCACGTAGTGGCGACTGGAGAGAAATGTTCTTTCTCCTCCGAGATGGGAGAAAGTGGAGTGAGGATCTCTGCAGAAATAGTGGCTTCACTAGATTCTGATGCATTGTTGGAATCCAGATTATTCATCTGATGTTTACTGTCGGTTATAATGGATTCATTTAATTTTAACTGTGCAAATAATGCATCGACTTATGTGACTGATTGAATGATAGCATCAATACTCTCATCATGCGAATGCCTAGATTACTGCAGAGATAATTTATTAGAAAGCATTTCTATCAGGTTCACTCGGAAGTCTTCATACTGCTTCTGTCACTCTTGTGACACTAAGTGGACTTGCTCAGAACTCAAGGAGGTGTTTAGAACACTACGTTGAAAATAATGTGATCAGATAAGGTACTAGAGTTAGGGTTCGTTCGTCGCCAAAATATGCTATAGCTGCACTGATGCGAATAGTCCCGTCGAAATAGGTTATCACCCTGACGTAAACAGTCTTATGCTCTGCCGATTGGGCTAGCTGATTTGATTTCTTCAGAATCACTGAGGCTTTTCAAACGACCTATATACATTATACATTATTTATATTCATTTACCTGCCTCGAAGCTTCGCATACATATACACCACTATAATCATCACATTAGATTTAGTATACGCGAATCTTGTGGTCATCTTCTTATATTTTACTACTCTTTTTAGTACTGACGAGTGTAAGACGTTCATCGCACAAAAAGACACTCTAATGTCATGACAGTTAGGAATTCTCTTCATTTCGTCCAAAGTTTCTTTTCGATAAGGAGCCAATACAGTGCTCATCCAATGCTTATCAGCATGTTTTCATTCATCCTTTTCTACAATTTTCAAATGTCTTTTATTATTGGCTTTCGAGTGACTATCTTCCTCAAGAGTAGATCGAACCAGTCTCATTACTCCACTGGTCTCTTCTTCTCCAGTACACAGACGTTTAGATCTAATTATTGTATTCTCAGTAACAGTTACTTCGGTGTTAAACGAGTGTGCACAATACTGATATTGATAAATCCAGGTATCTGTGCGGATGTTTAGCCTTTCCAAGATTATTGATTCTGAGCTCACCACCTCTGGTTACCTTTCTAACAAACAATCCAGAAAATCAAAATTTTGTGCATCAAATTTAACAACTCTAGAAAGCCTAATAATTTTTGATATCGGAAAAGCAATATGTGGGCGAAATTTATGTGAATTGTGCAATGCATTTGTACAACACATTTAGAGCAATCTTATCACACACGTGCTTATCACAGGCATATTAAAATGTATATGTCTTGTTGAGGAAAACAGGTGACCTGTCTCTTGATGAATTCAAAGGAATGCTCAGAATTTGACGGGAAACACCCTCCTCAAATACCAACAACTTGAGACGTAGACACAGTTTTAGTGCCATCCGGATATCACTTCGGATAGATGGATGTCAAAGTAGTAAATTACAAGTAACAACTCAAGACACTTTGATGACAACATTTGTGAATAATAACGAGCACTGAGACTTACTATTGTTTCATCACCCTCCATTTGGTTCGGGATCAGTCTAATGTTGAATCCGGAAGACGTCACCACTCCGCATTCCACCATATTTTCACATGACTTCAGAATTTATGTAATCAATGCATTTAAAAAAATTGTGGGTTAGAAAATTAGTAAAATGCACAACTGTATAAAACGAAACAGCCAGTTTGCGGATTTTCGGAAACCCATGAAGTCTACACTGACTATAACGTTTCGGTGTCAGTGAAATCCCAACTGATAAAGCGATTTTCTCATTCGTTCACTGTGACATTTTGCATGTTTCAGCTTCAACCTATTCAATTATGTAACTTGTAATTTTTAATTCCTCACCACTTTCAGATATCTTCGTCGCTGAACTCGTGGTTTCCATCAGAGATTGGAATGAAACAATTTCGAGTAGGAGTATCCGATCTTCATTGGATATTTTGGACAAATACTGTAAAGACGTAAGTCATGCTTCTGCCTACTGAAATTTGACACTCACATCATCTTTGCGACAATGCATACTGAAGCCCAAATCACACGTAGAATTGATGTCTACAAGTCAAGCACCTTGGCGGTGGAGTTCTTGGAGACTTCCACTTTTGTTAGGAGACTGTCACACAAGTGATGAATATCACCATGTGCTTCACAAAGTGGAGAAAACCTGACTTCTACGGATCCTATAGAAGTCTGATCCCGTAATGCTTACCAAAAATCGGTAAACGACAGGTACTTTTTCAGTTGTTGGGCATCAGAAATTATTGCGAACAGTTTCCTGAGATTACACAGCCCTCACGCCATACACTTGTCGATTGTCTGCTTCTAGCAACACGGTCTGCAAGTGGTTGACTCCATAAATTTGTGTTCTCAATGTCGCCTCCCTCTGATCTGTTTTCTTCTCCCCTGCTGTTTTCAGGTGAAGGAAGTGGTGAGGAGTCGAGATCGAAGACTGCTTTCAGTTCATCTGTCCTGTGATATTATAATACCGAAAAGTTCGAAAATCAGCAAATCCTCTAATGTCACTGTTCAGCTTGTAATGTCATCTCGTGAGATGCAGAATGCATTCTCTTCAACTGACTGGTTCCGAAGCTTCAAAAACTCGCTGGAATCTGAAGGTGTTACTGACAAAGACAAATGGCTATCACGTGAGTCATTTATATCTCATTCTTTTTGATTCATCAAAATGTGATATGCACAGGAATAGGTGACACTTGCATGTTACACATTGATTTGCGGCTGTTGGCCATCAGTGACATGATATGCATCTACGCTCATACAGAAACACTGAACGACGCAGATGTGCTGACAGTGTGAATCATTGCATAACGTGATATTCCTCCTCTGCTTCGCACTAAAACATCAATAAACAACCACGCCTCTTCCGCTTCTACACAACATCAAACTTTCATTATCATATACAATACCTATATCAATCGTCTTTTGTTTCCTTTCAGGTATCCTCTCAGTAAAAGGTGAGTTTCCTCCTCTAATTTATGCCACAATATATAACATATTTCCAATCACTCCAGAACTCACGTCTGCTTCTATATCGAACTGAGCTCTCATTCAGTTCTCATCTGTTTGTCGACATTACATTCCTGTGCAGACGGGCCTTCTTGGTTTATGTTCCAATCAACGATATAGTTGGAAGTAACTGGAATCGCACAATGTCAATCCATTGGCTTGCTTATTTCACAGCCAATCGCAAACAAACCGACACTGATTGAAAAACATTTTTCTAATGAGTGCTAACAGTCGCAATGAGGTAATGCTGATTCAGAGGATTTCAACAATAATCAGATCCAAGTTCTGAATGTCACTTTGTTCCATGCAATCTGGCAAGGTTTTGATTTGCATTTGAACATCTCAATTTTCAGTTGTCCGAATGCATGATTGACTGATGAGGTGTGTAATATAGCCATCCAGCAGCACATCTCCATTTCACATTGTCTGCTGCAGTCATTCAAAGCAAATAGAATGGTTTCCCACAAACTCTCACTTCCTCCTGACATCACCTCTTCCGTATCTTTTTCAGACGCCTCACGGGTCGTTCACCGATCCGGAATTCATTCGAATGCTTCTCCGGTGATGTCATTCAGTGTTTCACTCAATATAAATTCAACCCACCGTCAGTTCCTTGTGAACACTTGTTGAGTAATATTTTGATTGGCTAACACAGCCTTCTAACTATCTGACCATCAATATTTAGAGAAGCCAGATATTTGTGGAAGCATAAAGCATTTTGGAAATGCTATCAGGGATGTACGCGCCGAGTTCAAACCACATAGAAACATTGACTCAGTAATTGATTTAAAACTTGGGTTCTATTCCTCATGCCACCTAACGTAGATCTCTGTACTTATTCCAAAGTCATCAGCTCCCACCTTGTTTACAAATTCGTGGCTGGCTTAGACATGGACGTGAATGCGTCTGATTCTCACACTGACAGAATCACTTCTCCATCAACTCATGTACTAATTCACTAGTTTAAGAATTCATTTAATTCAATTAATAATTCTGCAATTCTCATTCGTCTACACCGTTTCCAATATTTTCATATTTCAGAAGGACGTCCGTTAAACACAAGTAAGATAAGCAGGATTATTCTCTTTCGGTAAAATGCTTCAGTCTTTTCCGACATACTCTTGTTTATTTCAGGTTTATTTCAAGGTAACACAACGTGTATTTTTCAATTTACTAGATCACAGCTATTTGGGATCTATCTCTGATTTGAGCAGACTACGCGTGGTGCACAGATCACAATGCAGTGTAACCGACGCATAGCAACAGAGAACATTAATAGTAGGGATTACCACTGGCTAATCAGTGCCGAAGTCTACAAATTTGCGTTAATACAGTTTACAACATTACTTGTGAGAGAATTTCTCCAGTCCTCTGCCAAACAGTACACGGTTGATCAATGACGGCATTCTTGTCTCCCGTCAATGGAGACCAGTCCAAATGAACAAACAATTCAGTGCACGCCAGCATTGGCAGTGTTTCTCATCGGCGTTCTAAGTGTATCCAATCACTTATGATGTTAGGAAAAGTAACAAATGAAATAATTGACAGCACAAATCGTTCCATTTACTGACTTTTATCATCTTTGTCGACTTGTGGATTACATAACTAACCATGAATATCCATTTTAGATTACGTCCTCAAATACGGAGCAAATAGACTGCTACAGACAGTGAATCTATGTTCTAAGGTAAAATTTCATTCTGTTTATCTAGTTTGATAAGATTCATGTGATCAGATTTGCTTGAGTGTTGACTAATCAGGGAGATGCAATAGCATGTAATCTTGTTGTCATGCATCCCACAGGCTGTTGAATTTATCTGAGAGAAACGCTGATTAGTGTTTGCGCCTTCAGTGCCATTCGACTGATCAGCTCATGATGACACTTGGTGAGACCTTGTAGAGGATACGAAATGTAGACAAATGCAAGTCAGTTCTGTGTGTTGGAATGTTGGGCGTAGTAATCGGATGCAGATATTCTGGTGGAACGAATAAAATAATTCTGCACATTTCTGAGTATCAGTGTTGAAGCAGTCATTCGCTCGAACCGGAGAGTGCATAATTGAGTTGAGGTTAAGTACTAGGACCTTTTTCTCCAATGACATTTCACCTTTGACTTCGATTGACTTTATAATTCTTCAGATATTGCCTAAGAGACTGACAACAGTTGCACTGCTAATGCTTTAGAGGTTCATATAACCATATGAAATTTGATGTGGTGCTCTATGCAGATCGATGTGTATGTCTAACATTTGAAGCAACTCGTCAGCTGAGCGTCACAAACCATGCAAAATTGACATTAGTTGGCTATCAGAATGTTCTCTCTGTTTGCTTTTTTCAGCTGAAGACACGGGCATCAAGGCTGTATTCTCGACTGGGAGAGACTGTCGACAACTGTTCACTCAATAGTACTGAAAAGCTCTTGACACTGTCACTATCAAAACCAAAGCAATTCGAACTGGAATACTATACATCGCGTGATGTTGCCGTTCGCCGCTTTTACTTTGTTGTTAATGACATCTCTCGGAACCCTGAAGGTAATCGACTTAAATTACTTTCATTTATAAATGTGTATATATCTTTTTTCCCTTCCGTATCACATGCGCTATCGATTATATTCCACGACATTACTAAATAATCTTTGTTCGCGCAGTTAAGCAGTAAGAATGGGATTTTCACTTCGGTTTAATCGTATGTAAGTCCTCCACATGTGAACATGCAACCTAATTTTCAGGCAGCTAAGAGCTTAATTAATGCTGTAGTATGCAATGCCTTCAGAGGAAACACAAGGAAACTTTATAAAATGCATAAGCAACAAAAGACTGTCATAATTGTTTCGTAGAAATCGATGAAATAAAAAAACATTGAATGAAAATAACAAGAAAACATCAATCATCAATAATCAGGCGTGACGACGTCGACAGCCATTTCAAACAATCTACATCATTCACAAAATTTCCAAATACTCATCGTTCACTATCTATATAGATGTCACTGCTGACCGCTCATGGTCAAACAGAAGCGCCTAATGTCACCTAAAATAACTTGGCTTCACTTGATTGTCTTGACTACCATTGCGATCCCTTAGATTTCGGTGAACACCCAATCAGCCAGCAATGCAGCCACCATCAGGCATCAAACACAACACACACTCAACTGAATATGCCACAAAATAACTAACACAAGCATCGAAAAACAAACCAGCACTAAGACAGAAACACACCTTATTAATGACTAAATATGCAATGCCCTCAAAGGAAACAAAAGAAAACTTGATTTCCTTCGCAGAAATTGCAATCGCTTGGCTTCCAGCCAACATTCAGCAAACCAGAGGACTTGCATCATGTATCAAACACCAGCCAATCAAATCCGTTAACCGCAAACCAAATAATATCCAAGCATAACAAAATCAAAAGGAAAAGAATCACGCGGAAAAACACAGGCACGCAAAAATATAATAAGAAACAAAAACACAAAAAAAACCCAACGCATAAATAAATGAAATAAAAATAAAAACTAACAAATACAACGCTAGATTCCTAACCCGTTATATGCACATTCCATATATTCCTTAACTACACAGAAACACAACCAGTCACAGATCAGTCAGAAAGCACTCAGTCGGAAGGCACTGATCAACAGTTGACTACCACGCCTCAATTCGAGTCAACAACACCAGGTCAGTCAATTCCCTTTGATTATGATGATCACTTTTATTTTTATTCACCGAACACCCACTCTCTGCAATCACATCAGTCCAATCCACCACCAGTGGAGTCCCGTCCAGTTCCCTTCCGTTCCGTTCTGTCACCTTCCATCACATCACATGCCATTCCATGTGACGCCATTCCATGCATTGCTTCCCCTTGCATTCCTTTGCATTGCATTCCATTTCATTCCATTGCATTGCCTACCCGTAAACATCCACCCCGCCAGACAACCACACTGTCGGCCACGTTCACACCCAGAATTATCCATCAACAACCACTCACCCACTCAACAAAATACCACTACCACACACCACAAAACACCTACAAATCACAAAGAACTAACCAACAGTCACACAGATCCACCCACCAACACACACACACACAGCCACACAATCACACAGACAAGCAAACAAACAATCGAACGCAAGTCGAATTTCAATACATAAAACCACTGCTCCATCGCTCACTTACTCACTCACTCACTCACTCACCCACTCACTCACTCTCTCTATCTCTCTTTATCTCTGTCTCACTCTGTCTCTCTTCCCGTCTCTCCCTCCACAGAAACACAACCAGTCACAGATCAGTCAGAAAGCACTCAGTCGGAAGGCACTGATCAACAGTTGACTACCACGCCTCAATTCGAGTCAACAACACCAGGTCAGTCAATTCCCTTTGATTATGATGATCACTTTTATTTTTATTCACCGAACACCCACTCTCTGCAATCACATCAGTCCAATCCACCACCAGTGGAGTCCCGTCCAGTTCCCTTCCGTTCCGTTCTGTCACCTTCCATCACATCACATGCCATTCCATGTGACGCCATTCCATGCATTGCTTCCCCTTGCATTCCTTTGCATTGCATTCCATTTCATTCCATTGCATTGCCTACCCGTAAACATCCACCCCGCCAGACAACCACACAGTCGGCCACGTTCACACCCAGAATTATCCATCAACAACCACTCACCCACTCAACAAAATACCACTACCACACACCACAAAACACCTACAAATCACAAAGAACTAACCAACAGTCACACAGATCCACCCACCAACACACACACACACACAGCCACACAATCACACAGACAAGCAAACAAACAATCGAACGCAAGTCGAATTTCAATACATAAAACCACTGCTCCATCGCTCACTTACTCACTCACTCACTCACTCACTCTCTCTATCTCTCTTTATCTCTGTCTCACTCTGTCTCTCTTCCCGTCTCTCCCTCCACAGAAACACAACCAGTCACAGATCAGTCAGAAAGCACTCAGTCGGAAGGCACTGATCAACAGTTGACTACCACGCCTCAATTCGAGTCAACAACACCAGGTCAGTCAATTCCCTTTGATTATGATGATCACTTTTATTTTTATTCACCGAACACCCGCCCTCTGCAATCACATCAGTCCAATCCACCACCAGTGGAGTCCCGTCCAGTTCCCTTCCGTTCCGTTCTGTCACCTTCCATCACATCACATGCCATTCCATGTGACGCCATTCCATGCATTGCTTCCCCTTGCATTCCTTTGCATTGCATTCCATTTCATTCCATTGCATTGCCTACCCGTAAACATCCACCCCGCCAGACAACCACACTGTCGGCCACGTTCACACCCACAATTATCCATCAACAACCACTCACCCACTCAACAAAATACCACTACCACACACCACAAAACACCTACAAATCACAAAGAACTAACCAACAGTCACACAGATCCACCCACCAACACACACACACACCGCCACACAATCACACAGACAAGCAAACAAACAATCGAACGCAAGTCGAATTTCAATACATAAAACCACTGCTCCATCGCTCACTTACTCACTCACTCACTCACTCACCCACTCACTCACTCTCTCTATCTCTCTTTATCTCTGTCTTACTCTGTCTCTCTTCCCGTCTCTCCCTCCACAGAAACACAACCAGTCACAGATCAGTCAGAAAGCACTCAGTCGGAAGGCACTGATCAACAGTTGACTACCACGCCTCAATTCGAGTCAACAACACCAGGTCAGTCAATTCCCTTTGATTATGATGATCACTTTTATTTTTATTCACCGAACACCCACTCTCTGCAATCACATCAGTCCAATCCACCACCAGTGGAGTCCCGTCCAGTTCCCTTCCGTTCCGTTCTGTCACCTTCCATCACATCACATGCCATTCCATGTGACGCCATTCCATGCATTGCTTCCCCTTGCATTCCTTTGCATTGCATTCCATTTCATTCCATTGCATTGCCTACCCGTAAACATCCACCCCGCCAGACAACCACACTGTCGGCCACGTTCACACCCACAATTATCCATCAACAACCACTCACCCACTCAACAAAATACCACTACCACACACCACAAAACACCTACAAATCACAAAGAACTAACCAACAGTCACACAGATCCACCCACCAACACACACACACACAGCCACACAATCACACAGACAAGCAAACAAACAATCGAACGCAAGTCGAATTTCAATACATAAAACCACTGCTCCATCGCTCACTTACTCACTCACTCACTCTCTCTATCTCTCTTTATCTCTGTCTCACTCTGTCTCTCTTCCCGTCTCTCCCTCCACAGAAACACAACCAGTCACAGATCAGTCAGAAAGCACTCAGTCGGAAGGCACTGATCAACAGTTGACTACCACGCCTCAATTCGAGTCAACAACACCAGGTCAGTCAATTCCCTTTGATTATGATGATCACTTTTATTTTTATTCACCGAACACCCGCCCTCTGCAATCACATCAGTCCAATCCACCACCAGTGGAGTCCCGTCCAGTTCCCTTCCCTTCCGTTCTGTCAACTTCCATCACATCACATGCCATTCCATGTGACGCCATTCCATGCATTGCTTCCCCTTGCATTCCTTTGCATTGCATTCCATTTCATTCCATTGCATTGCCTACCCGTAAACATCCACCCCGCCAGACAACCACACAGTCGGCCACGTTCACACCCAGAATTATCCATCAACAACCACTCACCCACTCAACAAAATACCACTACCACACACCACAAAACACCTACAAATCACAAAGAACTAACCAACAGTCACACAGATCCACCCACCAACACACACACACAGCCACACAATCACACAGACAAGCAAACAAACAATCGA